TACGTAAGCTGATCCGCATCATACGTTTATTTGCGTTTACATTTATTTATTTATGTTCATAAATACATATTTATACCGGGTGCGTCTGAAAAGTGGCTCACCCCTATAACTTTTTTATTTTTTCAGATAAAAAAACGAAAATTGGTATGTTAGTATATGACATAAATTAGGATTTATTGGCGTATTCAATTGTTTTTGGACACTTCCTGTTTCACCGGAAATGACTACAACTTTTGATTTTTAAATGGCACCCTCGGAATTTTTTTACTTTATTCGATAGAAAATTACATTCTGAATATAATGACTTATCATATATCAACTTTTGACATTCCCGCTTAATAAAAAATTGTATTTTAAAATTTAATCTAGATTGTCATGACTATATTAAAAACACTAATTCTTCATCAAGGAGCCTTGGAAAAATACATTTGAGCGTCTAATGTTTTTAGTGTCTTGTCCTGGCCACTTAGAAAATGCTCAAATCGTATTTTTAATCATATCTCAATTTTTTCAAATGGAACAAGGGTGGCTCATTAGCTTATTTGAATAATCGTTTTAATATTTACGAATAATTTGATACCACACACTTGGTATTTCGAGTCAAATTTTCGTTACGAACCGCAAGTTATAATTTCAAATAAGCCATATGCGAAAATGTCAAAAGTTGACATATGATATGTCATTCTATTCAGAGTGGCATTTTCTATCGAATAAAGTAACAAAATACGGGGTGCTATTTAAAAATCAAAAGTTGTAGTCATTTCCGGTGAAACCGGAAGTGACCGAAAACAACTGAATACGTCAATCAATCCTAATTAATAAATCTCGTTCTTTTAACTAAAAAAAAAAATAAAAATGTTATAGGGGTGAGCCACTTTTGAGACGCACCCGGTATAAAGGTTACATGTTTTAATCTGGGGTAAGTCTTAAATAAGTGCAAATATTTTTATGGTATTTTTCGACCCCAGAAGCACATCTATAACTTTTTACCGTAAAAAAAGATGTAGAAGTTAGAAAGACGAGAATACAATGGGTTGCCCCCTGGTGTCCCAAGGTTGAGACCAGTAGAGGCTAGTCTTCTATCTAGCGACACATCCCTTTGACCTGGTCCCTCCATCATAAGATTTTGGTTTTTAGTGAGGTGGTCTCCTCTTGGTCCAGGCGGTTAAGCTAACCTAACCCCTTCCCCATACCCTCTACCCGTGATACATGACCACAGACAGTAGAGGGTGCCTGGTATGACGGACAGGGTAGTCCCATTTGGCATCGTTATACCTCTTGGTGCAATTCCCTGGCCACGACACTACAGCCAGGGCCAAGACAATGAAATATTCCTTAGACCCAAGGTTATTTATTAAAAGATAAGGTTGTCTCGTAACTCGATCCGTCATTATCGAAAATGTCATCTACTACGTCACAGGGATGCTACCGCTCATAGATAAAGGGATAAAAACTGCGATCGATGATTAATTCGATCGGTGTGTATATGGTGTATGGCGTCCATAGTTTTTAGTTGTTTGATGTTTATTTTCTTTATTACATTGCCCATTTATCTCTCTTTGTCCGTTGCATTTTATTTTTTATTCCTTTTATCTACGATTTTATACGTTCTGTCTACATCACCGGGATGCTATTCCGATTCGCTCCTATTGGTCCAAAAGTTACGAGGTAAACTGATATATAGTAACCTTGCCTTAGGCCCAGCCAAAGTCCAAGAGGGGATTCCCCCTAGCACCTGACCAGGAGCTTCCCCACCAACAACAAGGTCTCGCATCTCCTAGAGGAAGTATGTACTCATACTTTCAGTGAAACTAGAAGCTAGCTCTACTTTTGTTCATTTTGATTGAACAATGAATACTGAACTGAAGTGTGAGAAGTTATTTTTTTCGTCCAGTTTTCCCAGTTAGAGGAAATATTGATAGATACTATGTATAAACACAAACGCCGTTTTCCGTCTTTTAAGTAAAGAATGTTCCAAACTCGAGCCTCATTATTGGGATCTCGGAAACTAGAAGAGATACGAGGTCAGTTATATTGAGGCAAAGTTGCGTAATGTCATGCTGATCCAAATGCCACCATTAAAAGTTTAAAAAGTTTGAATACTTCCCAAGATTTGGTGTGAACTTCTGAAGATGGAGTCTTCCAGGTTCTAGAGTTCCGCTTTATGTTGGTTTCCGCTTGGAAAGCAGAACCGTTCTGCTTCAGTTAGGGGACTGCTCGCTTCTTTTCCTCCAGAGTAGGAGGACTTTATTTTCTTTGCCTAATTTGTTCAGCTTCTCTAGATATTCTCTGACCAACTTCGATAATAATGAAATTCGCGAGTAGTGTGCGCAATAATGAAAATAACCCGACACGAGACAAAGTTAGGCAAGGAAATACGAAATAACCCTCTTCACTATTCGAGCTTGACCTACATACTTCGGATTACTTCGCGAGTAGTGTACAGACCGTTTAACAATACAATATTTTCAGTATTTTTCTTTTAGATAATGCATTTATATTTAGTGTTAAGTATGTTTCAGATGTTCAATAATTAAACCCAGTTCTCAGTTTTCTTTAATTTATTCCAATCGTTCATCAATAAACTACAATAAACAGTAAGCATAACATTGAGCGTTACGTCATTCTTAATGCATTTTAATGGGTTCTTGTTTTGTGCGGTCGTGATCGTAAATGTTTTCGGCCTGTGCATTCTTAATTATATAACGAGTTCCATTACAATTTTTTTTTGTATGTGGTAATAGTTTTTTTACTGTTAACCAGGAAATAACAGTATTCCACTATATAAAACATACAGAATGTTTAAAATAAACGATATCCAATAGCAACCTTTAAAAAAAATTAATATCATTAATTTGAGAAAGTTTTAAATAAGTACCTACTCATTGATACCTAATAAAAAAAATTATGGGTAATAAAAAAATTAACATGGGTATGGAAATGCATAGTTTTAGAGTTATAGGATGTTAAAATTTTTTAAAATTAGGTTTTTTGTAATTATCTTAAATACCATAATTTTATTATTTGAAATTACTGTATGTTGGACTAATAGTAATAACACAGATTAGGTACCCTATAAGTATACAAATAAAAATCTTGTCCCTAATTCGATGTACGAAAATTGTTTCTTATGACGATGTGCAAACGAGTAAAATTTCCTGTGCGCAAAAATAAACTCGCGTAAAATAACAATAAACAGCGTAATAGAGAGATATCGCTAAACCGAATAGCGCACATGGACGTTAATAAGGCCAGGTGTTATTTCCTTATGATTTCCTTTACGTGAGGTGGTAATCGTAATCAACTCTCTTCATTTATAGTTATCGGATCGGAAAAAATTCTGTTCGCGTCACGTCCGCTATTTAAACTTAACCTAACTTTGAATTTAAAACTTTGAAATTGTTTTGTTTACTAGGTATTTAAAACTAAAGGGCTTATTTCCAGTGCTTTATTGTTCAACGTCTGCCAGTGGGTTTAGGGCAACAAGCAACAAATTCTCTTAGAAGGGCTAAGTCGTCATCTGCATCCATATTTTGGGCCATATTTATTTAATTAAAACTAATCCCAGATACTTAAATATCAAATTACCTAATAAAACTCAAGTAATAATTCAAAGCAATTCAAATATAACCTAAAATAAAAGATCTCGCCGGCCGGCGCCGGTTGTCAAATACCCGCACATGCCCATTTAAGCAATTTTTAAACGTTATTTAGAAATAGCGCTTGGTGTAATTTATCCGCAAATTACGTCAGGCGGTAATGTTATTAGCGGGTGTTGCGTTAAAAATTGACTCGCGCATATCGTAACCATGATAAGGTACGCGTAAATACTGCATGACGCTATTCGGTTTTCCGATATCTCTCTAATAACTGTGCCGGTCAGGCGCTGTGCACAATTTTAGAGGCCATAAGTTGGCGTGCTATGTGCGCAAACTAGTAACCTAACAAGTGCCTGATTCCGAAAATTGGAACCACGAAAAACAATAAAGAAAAAACAAAGTTTATAATCTGTATAATCTGTGGTAATAATAACTAATAGTAATAATATTTAATAATAAATTAGGTAAAATATATAATTTATTAATTTCTCTAGTTTTCATTTTAATTTTATTAATTATGATTAATAAAATGGCGTTTATCTCATCAAGGAGGCCGAATTCGACAAAATATCAAGAGATAACTTTTAATTGGCATTAAACGGCCTACACAATTTTGATAAATATCAAAAAGAAAAAGTTAGTGGCGCACATGTTTTTTTTTGAAAAACCTTCCAATGATAACCCATATGCACATCCCTGATGAATTTATCGACACTTTTTTATCATTAAAATATGTAGCACTTATAGTAATTTTTACCCTCAAAATGTCATTCAAATCACTAAAAGTAGTTGGAAGAAAAAAAAGCCTTAAATATCTAGAAAGTCTATGTTAGAAAGCTTAGCGTAGAATTTTGAACACCCATCGTATGATTTAAGATTACGAAATTTATAGCAAAGTAAGTATAGACCATCTAAAGTAAATTGGTATTTACTTTAGATGGTGGATATTTAGGTATATAGCCTATAGCCTTGATTTCAGGACAGGTTCTAGTATTTGTAATAATTTTTTAAGGAAGATTGGAAAATATATATTTTTAATGTATGTATTAATGTCTTTGAAACTATGGAAATATATTTACTCATATCTTAGAATTATTTAAAGTGATCTGAAAGGAAACCAAAAATGCAATAATATAGAGGGTATGAAGCTGTTTAAGAGCGATTCTTTTTTTAAAACATAGAGATGGATTATTGATTTTACTCAGTTTTATTGTTAGCGTTGATTGAAGAAATATCAAAACCAAACCTAATTCTTTCAATCAACGATTTTAATGTTAAATCTAACTTAACCCATAAATATCTTGAAATGGAAATAGTAGAGCAATATTACCGAAAACCAATGTTTCCAATAAATATCTCGCAAAGCTCGTATTTACGATTGTTTCTTTTCTTTTTTTCCAGTTTTCCGAAGATGTCAGGAGTAACGTTGGCCGCAGGAGCGCCCCCTGGGGGCAACGCCGACGTTGGCGACGGCGGTGGCAGGGCATTAAAATTGCAAACGGATGCGCCCCATTTAGTCAGCATGGGTGGAGACAGACTAAGCACCTCGGTTACCTTGCACCCTATACCGCCAGGTAAAGAAAATATATTTTTTCGTATAAATAGATTTTTTTGTAAATAAGTTTCACATCTCTTGCATTTGTGTTGCATTCAAGCAAAAATATATATAATTATAATATTCTAAAGGTCAATTTAGCATGCGGTCATAAAGTCGTAGCACATCGAAGTTTCATTTTTTTAAATGGAATCCCCTGATTATTAGTAATCTCAGCAAAAATCGAAATATACACAATGGACCTCAAACCAACCGTTTCTAAGTTATTAGCTTTTGAAAATATCACTTAAACAATTCGATTTAAATAATTTCGATGTGTTCGGTTTCATTTAACGATGCCATTCTGTGGAAAATCTGATATTTAATAATATTTGACATTAGTTTTCAAGTTAGCATTTATAGAGACGTATAAAATGAGATTATATCAAGTCTGGAAATTACAAAATTTTCGTTTAACATTTCAAAATCGAACTTAATTCAGAAATATCTGAATTTAGGTACATTATGTGTATTACGATTATTGCTTAAAATTGAAGGAAGAATTGAAATATGCAATAATATACAGGGGGTTCCATTTAAAAAAAATGAAACTTTGATGTGCCACGACTTTATGACCGACCCTGTATAATTAATTTTTTTACCCGCTAATAGATTTTTAAAAACCCTATAACTTTTGTATTTAGCTTTTTGCAGTACCTTGTATATTTTACCTATAAATCAACCGTTCCCATACATATCCCTTTATAATTCTAATTTTTCATTTTCAAACGAACCGTATTGTAAGCAATGAATCAGTTCTCACGATTCATTGAAGGAACGAGTCGTAGAAACGAACGAGTCGCATTGTGATCCGATAATTCAATTCTTACGACTCGTTCGTTCAAAATTTCATGGATCCATGTTGACCACGATTTAATTGAACGAACTGTATTATGTATGCAATGAATCAGTCTGACAATTTTTTGAACGAACGAATCGTATTGTGATCCGATTCAATTCTTACGACTCGTTCGTTCAAATTTCATGGATCCATGCTGACCACAGTTTAATTGACCGAACTGTATTATGTATGCAATGAATCAGTCTGACGATTCTTTGAACGAACGAGTCATATTGTGGTCCGATTCAATTCTTACGACTCGTTTGTTCAAATTTCATGGATCCATGCTGACCACAGTTTAATTGACCGAACTGTATTATGTATGCAATGAATCAGTCTGACGATTCTTTAAACGAACGAGACATATTGTGGTCCGTTTCAATTCTTACGACTCGTTCGTTCAAATTTCATGGATCCATGTTGACCACGATTTAATTGAACGAACTGTATTATGTATGCAATGAATCAGTCTGACGATTCTTTGTACGAACGAGTCGTATTGTGATCTGATTCAATTCTTACGACTCGTTCGTTCTAATTTCATGGATTCATACTGACCACGATTTAATTGAACGAACTGTATTATGTATGCAATGAATCAGTCTGACGATTCTTTGAACGAACGAGTCGTATCGTGATTCGATTCAATTCATACTACTCGTTCGTTCAAATTTTATGGATCCATGCTGACCACGATTTAATTGAACGAACCGTATTGTAAGTAATAAATTATTTTTCGCGATTCTTTGAATGAACGAGCCGTAGAAACAAATGAGTCGCATTGTGATCCGGTTCAATTCTTACGACTCGTTTGTTTAAATTTTATGGATACCTGCTGGCTACGATTCAATTAAACCGTATTCTAAGCGTTAAATCGAATCTCACGATTAATTTTGACTACCCGTTCAATCTGTGTCATCAAAACGAACTTATTGAAATAACAGTAGTTGAACTGTTCATATAAAAGTAGGAATAGAATTACGGACTCTTAGAAATAACAACGATAACTCCGAGGGTAACTCTTAATCAATCTCGTAATTCTGTAACCGGATTTTAGTAGACGTCTTTTACATTAATTTGAATTCTGAGAGCATCACTGGTGAACCGTCCGTCTCTTTATCTTATCTCGGCTCTAACACCGTAACAAGTAATTTAATTTGTGTAATGTTTTATGAATTACCTTCGCCTACGTTACGTCCGTTTAAATTATCAGAATGCTAAACGAGCTATTGTTTTACGTAAGTCGCTTTTTAGTGTAAGCGTGATAGTGAGAAAGGTGATTTGCGGTTGTTTTTTTTTTTCGAGTTTTCGTTCTTGCCAGTAACATCGAAATGGAACTATTCAAATAGAAATTTATACTAATTTCTTGTAGTCAGCCTATCTACTTCAACATTTTAAAGGTAAAATTATGATGCATTAAAACGTTCTTATAGGAAAAATATAATACAGGGTGTATATGAATAAACGCAAAATATTTGGAAGGTGATTGCTTTAAGAGTCTATTACGCTGTACTTTCGGGTCGCTCTCAGGGGTCGGGTAAAGCGGGTGTGTGGCCGAAGGAAATATTCAGGGTGGTCCGAACTGTATTCCGGAAACTTCGGCAGCATATTCTGCAGATAAAAATAAGTAAAAAAGTTCGTATAAATGTATGTCCTAAAATGCTTAGTTTCAGAGATACAGGATGTAGAAGTTTCATTTTTATTTCGATTTTTTCTAAATAATTTCTGAAGTAACGTCAACATTTGGATGAAAATTGATGTCTGGGTGGTTTTTGACATGAGAAATTTGATTTTGATGTCAATATGACTACTACAAGTAGAGTGCGCCACCTACATGTGTTTTAACTGTTTTGAAGCGTAATAACTTTTTGTCCGTACCTGTATAAAACTACCGAGAGAAAAAATATACATTTCCAACACCTTTTACGTAAAAAATATATCTTTGTAAAAATCGCTACGAGCAACCGTTCTTAAGATATTTAGAATGGAAATAGTCAATACATGTCATTATTGACGAAAAATAAACACGTTGAGTAGATAGTTATTTCACTGAAATAATAAATTTGGAAAATTTTTATTTTTTTAAATTAATCATAAATTTTTCTGCAAAAATGATGATAAAACAGTTTCTGTTGAACTTTTGGCACAAAAACCTTTCAAATTTATGATTTCAGTCTAATAACAACTATCTAGTCAACATGTTTAACTTATGTCAATGATGACATGTATTGATAATTTCGATTCCAAATATCTCGAAAACCATTACTCGTAGCGATTATTACCAAGAGACCTTTTTTACGTGAAAAACGTCGTAAATGTATATTTTTTTTACTCAGTAGTTTTATACAGGAACGGACTAAAAGTTATTACTCTTCAAACCAGTTAAAAATATGTAGGTGACGCCCTCTATTAGTAGGAGTCATATTGACATCAAAATCAAATTTCTCATGTTGAAAAACTACTAGACACCAATTTTCATCCAAATATTGATGTTAATTCAGAAATTATTGGGAAAAAATCGAAATATAAATGAAACTTCTACACCCTGTATCTCCGAAACTAAGCATTTTAGGACATACATTTATACGAACTTTTTTACTTATTTTTATCTGCAGAATATGCTGCCGAAGTTTCTGGAATACAGTTCGGACCACCCTGTATATTATATTTCAGAAATCTGTAGTCAGTAATCAGTATTTGTCATAAAATAGCTAGCAATTTGTTACAAAACCATATAAATTATATATCACTGTAATCACAAAACATCAATCACTCTCCGTATTGTAGCGGAATTGTAAATTAGGTATATCTTTATTTTCGAGAAAATTTAGTAAACATAAGGAATATTTTGTTGATGTTTGACCATCAAAATCTTAAAAATAAAAAAGTTCTCTAAAAATGTGCTACAATACGGATATAGTATAATCCTTTATCTTTAATTTCCTTCTTCATTTGTGTAAAAATACCTAGCCAGTTTTACATAAAACGTTAAATGCCCAACGCTTATTTTGCTCCTTTTTCGTACTAATGAAATGGACTCTTAGATATAAGATTTCAATATGGTGTTCCACTACAAATATTTTCCTTATACAGGCTTGGCCAAATCTATATTCATATCAATCTGAATTTTATTAAATGTGGGATGACGCTATCAAAGGGTACTTGGACCAAGCCCACTTGGATGCTGTCATGTAACTGTAGTAATAATTATACTGCGCGCGTCTCACTTGTATGCTGCTTGTATAGTATTGACTGTTTTATCAAAGTCGAGTTGAAAGGCTTTTTAACATCAAAGTAAGTAGGCTGACTTAATTTGATGCTACGAAGCCGTCCAACTCGACTTGGATAAAACAGTTGATACCATACAAACAGCATAAAAATGAGACGCGCACAACATCTATATAGGTATATTTGATATTTGTACGACAGCATTTGGTTGATTTGGTTCAAGTACAATTTGACCGTGTCAACCAGGCTTAAGCCCATTTCCCAGGCAAAGACTAATGTCATATTATTTTACTAGGTCAATTGTGCCAATACAGTAGATGCCTATCAATTTTACAAAAATGTTTACTCTCTATAGGCACAGTAACAATTTTAGTATGTGTAGATATGACTGAGTTCTCCAAGCTGAATCCTTGTTAAACTGTTAAACTTAAGATTTAAAAAGATTTTTCTTTTAATTTTGGTGTAAAAATCTAGTGGATTAAAAACCCATGCCGACAGATTTTTAATAACTCTTATCTTTCCTTCAAAACTATTTAACCTTTCAAGAGATTATATTATATATCAGCTGTCGTCACTATCAATAAGGCATCAAACAAGATTTAAGTTAAAAACAAAACAGTATGAACTATTAATAAATAAATCTACTTAATCTCGGAACATTATCTCATTAGATAATCTGACATCTGTCAATATTAATCTTATGATAGTTACCTAGAAAATAGAAATCATAATAGAAAACATAGAAAACACAAGTTTTTCAAAATTAATACATTTATTGGATTATGTTGTTTATCTGGATTTCCGAGTTTAAATTTTTAAATAATTAATATATCGTTAACTTCACATTCCTGACTGTAAATGATTATACAAAATATTGATTAGTAAAAAATATACAGGGTCCTGCAACATTA